AGTTAATCTTGAGGGTGACATTTGGGCTTTCCCTGGGCACCTTGACTAAAAGGTGGACCTGGAGCTGACTTTGGGAAGAGGCCGAGGTCAGGGTCTACACTGAATGAACGCTCTTGTTCCTGAGACAGGATTCAGGGAGCCCTGGAAGAACCACACCGAGAGACAGGCAGAAAGGAAAGACACCACAGCCAGAGTTGGTGGTGCCATGTGACCCAGAACAGCCAGTGAAAGCTCTGAGAGCGAGCCCTCTTCTCCATGAAAAACACTCAGAAAATTTTTGATTATTTCCAAAAGATATATTCATTATAATAGAAGATTTAAATCATGAGAGACCCCAGTTAATTCAGGTAAATATTGAATCAATTATAAAATGAAATCCAAGAAGCAACGAACCTGACACTGTAGAACACAACAATTTAACAGGAAAAACCATTTCCTAACACAAATTACAGGAGCGTTTACTCTGTACTGTCCTCTTCTTGTTACTTAATTTTTTTGTTTGTGTATTCGTTTATGGGGTTGGAGATGAAGACCTAAATCTGAAGTCTTCCTAACTTCCTGTTGCTTTAGCAAAGACGGAAAGGGGTCTTGGTGTCAAGGGTGGACTCAGGGTGTTCTGACTGGGCCAATGTCTGGACCTGTAGAACTGAACAGTGCCAGGTGGCTTTGGATCTCTCTCCATCAGATAAGAGAGGCGCTCCCTGGGCAGCAGAGCTAGTGAGGGAGGACATAGTCATGGAGGAGGGAGGAGGGAGTTGACACAGGAACTAAGCTGATATTTAGTGGCATTTGCTACACGGTTGGATACAAAAGTGTTTTCTATAGATACAAGTAGCTCACATCTGTACCCTAATCCTCTGGTTGTTGGTATGTGTTAGCTGGTACATGGAGCTTCACCCGTCCATAAGAAGATGTGTATGGACACTGAGGGCAAAGGAGTTCCACTGCCTGGCCTCGCCCTGTCTGGTAGAACATCTGTATTTATGGTTTTGAGACCTGGGGTTGCTCAAATTTTGAAGTGGGTGCTATGTAATTTGTACGAAAGCAAGTGAGCCCAATCAGGGTGTCTTCCCAGTACCTTTAAGTTCTAAGATACTATAATTTTAGAAATATTGGGACCAAATTACGCTTTACTGGCAGGGCGCTGTTAACAGAGTTGGATGCAAATCTCTTTGGCGGCACTTTTTGGAAAGCGGAGCCAAGGATGTGCTACAGAGCAGTGCTTATTGTCTGTTTTCCATGTTAAGGTAGGAACATCTCCTAAGTCATGGGGGAACATGAGACATTTGTGAACATTTAACGTGGTTCCTGGTTCTTGGAAAGCTCACAGTAAATGGAAAATATAAAAACAATCACTGTAAAGTTTGGAATTAAGTTATTTAAATGCTAACAACTTTTTCCTACATGCAAAAGACCAAACTTAACTAAAGCACCCACCCCCAGGCTGTTGAAAAAGTTTGTTCTGAGGTATGAAATTAAGCTTGAATGCCTATTTGTTTCACAAACGTAATTTGTTTCCTTCTATTCGGGTGGTAATGCATTTACATAGATTTATTAATTCCTTATGTGCTAGAAACTTAAAAATGTGAGTCCAAATTCAGAGGAAGAATAGCACAAAATTGTGGCTACCTTTACAGACTTGACTAGGAACACTAGATATCCTGTAGTCTGTGCATTGGTAAACTTATTCTCCCATGTTTGGACATGGATAAGTATGTCAGTCAGTGTGGGTCTTTTTGAATGTCTTCATCAAGTTTACGGCCTTTCATGGGATGTCTGTCTTTCCCTTTCTTTTCTTCTTAGAGAGTTGCTAAGAAGTTAAACTGGTATAGGGTCCAGGGCCAAGGTCAGACAGTCTGCTAGGTCTCCTTGGGGTTCTGTAGCTGAAGCCCTCAACATCTGGGCTAGTCCTTTAGAAATTCTAAGGTGGCCTAGTGGTGGTGTCACACGCCTTTAACCCCAGCACTCTGGAGCCAGAGCCTGGTCTACAGAGCGAGTTCTAAGACAGCCAGTGTAACAAGGAGAAACCCTGTCTCGAAGAAGAAGAGGGAGGAGGAGGGAAGAGAAGGAGGAGGAGGAGGAGGAGGAGGAAGAAGGAGAAGGAGAAGAAGAAGAAGAAGAAGAAGAAGAAGAATTCTAAAAATGATTCAGGCTTGTTTCAAAGCCCCCTGCTTTCTCCTATCTTATTTTCTGCCTCCTTAAAGTATCATGTACAATGACTATTTTGCTTGATGATATTGTTTAATACTAAAAATATCTCTGATAAGGATTTATGATAAAGCACATTCTGAGATTTTTTTTAAAAAAAATTGTAATTTTGAAGTAACTGTAGACTCACAAGAACTTAAAAAAAAAATGTCACAGTGTGATCCCACGGGCCCTTTGCTCGGCTTCCTTTGATGCCACAGTCTCACATAGCTAAGCTCGCATCACACTAGAGATTAACTTTGGTTTATTACGATTCATAGAACATGGACAGAGGACTGAAAGATAAAAGCCTGGCTTTCCTGAGCCCATCTTAGCTGCTGTGTGTGTCCTGAGCAGCACTGGGTTAATGTGCTGAAATCTTCGGCAAGGCTGAAGTTTTAGTAACACTTTATCTTATTGCTTCTTAAAGCAGCTGGCATTCAATTGGGCTTTTTCATTAAACGTGGCCAAGAGCTCTTTCCATCTATAGGAAATTTTGCTGTTTTCAAGGCCCAATTATCTGTGCCACCCCTGCTGTGGACAATCATTGTCCAGAAGGAAGAGCACCAACCCAAATCACTCAACTCTTGGTATTATTAGTGTGAGTCTTGTGACAAGGCACGAAATGTCCCTGGGTCTTACTGAATTGTTTCTAGATAATTGTTATTGTGAAGACTTAATTTTTTTTTTCTAGCAAACGCTGAATACAAGGTCCTGGAAAGTAGATCCCATAAAGCATTTGATTGCCGTTTTACAAACTAAGGTTCAAAGATGGTAAATTAATGGCTGAGAATAGTAAAACAGTACATGGCAGTGTAGCTGAACATGTTAGGATGGTGTCTTCCATGCTATCACATTACCTTTCCGAAGCACCAGAGGACTGGATCAACACAACACAGCAACTAACAAAGCCGAACCAGGCAAGCCCAGCAAGCCCAGCAAGCAGAATAAACAATCCACAGTTCAGGACAGCAGCAGAGGGTTAGGAGCCTGCCCTGATCTGCTAGTGATGATCACCTTGGCTCATGTCCTTTCTGTGTGCACAGAACGTCCCCCTCAGTTGGAGTTGAATGACGGACTACAAGAACGGTGGGCTGAGTTTACTGTGGTTACTAGTGTGGGGTTTCTGCCAAGGTCTCCCAGTTATTCAGATAGCACGAGCAGCCTAGAATCCCACTCCTCATCTCTGTATCCCCATGGTTCCCTCATCCCCAGGGGAAAGCATGGAATGGGGAGAATTTGAAGTTTGCGACTGTGCAACAACTTACACTGGTCTTTGTTTTTTTTAAACCTAAGAGAACTTAAATGTAAAAGGATGGAGGGTTCTGACATTGCCATCATCTTTATCCCTTTCAGCATTTTGCTCATAAATATAATTTATTAACCAAAGAATGTTCACATGGAGCATTTTAATAGCCTGGAATGTCTTTAGTACCACACCAGCCCAAATTCTTTCTTAGCCTGTCCTGAACACCTTTTATACATCCGAAATTCTTCATGATAGAACACCTGTTCTAGGAGGATTTCTTTGGGTCTCTTAATCCATGCATTTCCTTCAAATGGAATAGAAAATGCTAAAATTGATCTTTCATTTCAAGGGACTCCTGTTGCAAATGTCAAAAGCTTGGGCACAGCTCACGTGTGTGTTTGTGTGTGTGTGTGTGCGCGCAAGCGCGTGTGCGTGTGTAGCCCTGATCCATTAAGTAGTGGGTTATAATTAGAGAGATCCAGTCTTTTAGTGATAAGAAGTCTGAGGTTTTCTTACTGTAGTTACACGTGGGAATGTCATAATTAAGACTGAGGTAGAGAAAAACAAGAGCAGAATATTCCCAGGGATTCCTAGACATCCCTCTGGTTTTGAAACCATCTCCATCTTTGATTGTTTAGATTAGTTGTACTGTGGAGAAAAGGAAGAAAAAAAATCATCAAAGTATACTATATGCTGTCAGAATTAAGAGATGTAAGATGGAAGGCTATCTTGAGAAATTAAGTAGAATATCTTAGTATAAACAAAACTTTTTGTAGACTTTGAGAGCCAGAAGAATATAAACATGCTTGTGTTTTAAATTTGGTGATGCTTACACCCTCACAATCCTAAGGTATGAGGGGGACTCAGAAACTTTCATTCTGTACCAGGTTTGAATTATTTTATTGTTTGAGCACACATAAACGTTTTCTTAACCCAGACATGACAGTTTAATGAGACATAATGCACAGCAGTCCTTTCCCTAGAATTGTAAAAAAGACCTATGGCTACACACACCCAGGAAGATTGCCATTCTATTACAAGCAGAATGACTTTTTATTTTCTTGGCTATCCATGTTTTTCACTGCTTTTTCTTTCTCTTGTTTTTCTTTCAAGGACCCGTGCAAAACCTGGCAGAAGGGTTACATGGCTGCATCCCTGTGTGGACGCAAACCTCAGGAAGCACATTAGGGATGACAACGCACGACAACCACACAGAAAGGAGCCAATATCAGGAACTCCCAGGGACCTCTCAATGGACATGCTCCTTGCACAGAATCTACAGAGTCGTTTTTCAATATTAAAAGACTACTTATCAATTATAAAAGTTGTCTGATATTAATCATGGGCTTAAAACATGCCAATTTTGCTTAACTTTTGATTATGGCAGGATATTCTAGGACAAACACCAGAAATCTACTAAGCAGAATGACTCTAAAGTAAGACTGCAGTTTTATCAGAGCATGCATTTTAGCTTCACAGCGTACGTGTAAGGAAGGAACATTTGCACTTGTGATTATTTCACAAAACACTAAGGCACATAAAATTAGATGCTGAGCATACTCACAGTAGTTCCCAATAATGAAGACGCAGAAGAAGAATGGACCAGATGTCATTTCCTTCTTTCTGTGCAACTGATTAATGAACGTAGATAAAATGTGGTCTTGGATACAATGAGTCGCACACGGCTCACGGTGGCTGTGCTATTTCTGTCCGCTGTCTTAGCAGCTAGAAGGCAGTTCTCTCTCTCTCTCTCGCTCTCGTTGTCCCTCCCTCCCTCCTTCCCTTCCTTCCTTTATCCCTCCACCCCTCCCTCTCTCTTCTCTTGATTCCCTTTTCTGAAAATCTTAATATCTTTACACACACACACACACACACACACACACAGAGAGAGAGAGAGAGAGAGAGAGAGAGAGAGAGAGAGAGAGAGAGAAGCAGGCAGCAAGAAAAGTTTCTGAGAGCACACACAGGTCCATTTCCTCTAAACATCTTGTTCCTCTGCCTTGAAAACTCTCCACATACATATACGGACACTGGCCGAACTCTGACCTGGTCAAAGCTGTTAGCAGCAAACTGAGCTGAGATAAACCCCAAACAAAACAATTTTTTTTTCTTCTATGGATGCTCTTGCGGCACAGCTATAGATCAGGAATTAAGGTGTGACTGCAGTGGCCTTTTAAGCTTATTTGGAAATCTGAGCAATAGATATGGCTCAGAGGAAAAAAATAAAAAAATCAAATATTTCAAACTGTGTTTGCATGTTGATATGACTATAGTAGAACTATGATTAGTATATATATATAGTATATATATATATAGTAGAACACAACTTGATATGTTGTGACTGAAAAGTAAAGTCTTCCTGGGTTCAAATCTTAGGGATCCAGGCACTTTGGGGCTGGCAGCTATTACACAAAGCTAGGTTTTCAGGAAGAGAATACCAGTTCTGCAAGACAGCTCTGGGCTCTCCGCTGGGCACATCAGATGACTGGCCCAGGCCCTAGTGCACAGGCCCTAGTGCACAGCAGGTAACTGCCCAATGATGACCCTTTACGTGACGATATTTTAATGCTGGCCTACTGGTGAAAGAAAAGTATATAAATACAAATAACATTTCTGTGGGCAGCATTTTGTCTTAGGCAGAGTCTACAGTTCTTATTTTTGACCCAGCAGTGTATTTCTAGAGTTAATGGTTATCTCTCTGACCACCAGGCTTTGGAAGGGGGTGGGGGAATGAGCAAGTAGAGGAAATGTCAACCATGAGGGAGTGTGCGTAGAACTCTTTGGGAACCCAAAATTTTGCAACCCAATACGAAATATAATGAGTGGATCGTCGAACACACATGTTATATAAAAGGATGTGTGTGTGTGTGTGTGTGTGTGTGTGTATGTGTGTGCGTGTGTGCATGAGTGTGTGTGTGTGTGTGCGTGTGTGTGATTGTGTGCGTATGTGTGTGTGTGTAGGGGGTGGATACCAGCAGTCAAAGGTTTAAGCAGAGATGAGGGCATGGGGTGAGGGATGTGTTAACCAAGTTAAGAGTATATATGAAACCTTATGAAACCAACTATGCTAGTTTGAAAGCTAATTAAAAATATAACCAAATATAACCAAAAGTCCAGTGGTGGTGGTGGTAGCGGTGGCAGTATACACCTTTAATACCAGCACTCAACTGACAGAGGCAGGTGAATTTCTGACTTTGAGGCCAGTGTGGTCTACAGAGAGAGAGAGAGAGAGAGAGAGAGAGAGAGAGAGAGAGAGAGAGA